AATTTTTTAAAATTTTTTATTAGTCAAATCTATTTAAATAATAAATACTAAGAATTAACCAAATGTTAACTTTCCGTTAGTAATTTTGTTAGTAATATTGATTCGATAACATGATACTGACTTGGAAGAAACACATGAATGTCAACATTCCAAAATTTTAGCATTTTAACAAGAAAAAAGTTACAAAATTATTAACGATAATTTAAAAATGACTAATATTTTGATCCATTACGAAATATTTGATTAATTAATAGCATTTTAATAGGTTTTGATAATATAAAAATTTTGAATAAAAAAAAACAGAGACCAAACAGCGCTGCGTCGGATAAGCGCGTCACAGGAGGGAAATCAAAATAAACGAAAAGGGATGCGCGTGGGTTTGGGCCTATGCTGTGACGGGGATAGTTACTGGGCCTGGCTCCAAAGCATGAGTAACATTGCTCTACTATTCTCGAGAGTAACTGGCCCATCGACATGGGCCCTGTAAGATGGAGGAACAAAAAAACTTCTGTAGGAGTACAACGCGTGACATTAGGGTGGGCAGTTGCTCCGGTAAATTCGAATTGAACCGAACTGAAATCGAATTAAACCGAACCAAAATCAAAATAATGTTATTCAGTTTGAAATTTGGAAGAAAAATATGAATATTTTGGAAACCAGGTTTCTTTCAAACAAATCGAATTTCTGAATTTCCGACCGAAAAATCGAATTACTATAATTGCAGGCTCCAAATGGTGAATTTTTATGTTTGTACTTGGTTTGAGACTTAAATATTTGAATCATGTTAGTGTTTTATGACTTATGTGTTGAATTGTTTGATTTTATCATTGATAATGCATATTTATTGTTTACATTAGGGGTGAAAAATAATTTAAAAGGGAGAAGATACAAGTATTCTCACAAATTCGGTTTTGTGTGAAATTTTGAACTGAATCGAATTATAATTCGGTTTAAATTGACCAAACCAAATTATAATTCGGTTCAGGGTTTGGTGGAATTCGGGACCCGGTATGTGTAATTTCGGTTCGGTCGAAATCGAACTGACCGAATGTCCACCCCTACATGACATGCACATAAGAGATGGCAACGAATCCGATCAGGATGGATAGTGTAAATCTTATCCTATCTAAAATATTTCCAATTTTATTCATATTCATACCCACATAAGGTAGAAATCAAAGTCATGTTTAGGGGTGGGCATGTGGGTGGGTAATCCGCGGTTTGACATCGACTCACCCGCAAATAAACCAAACAGTAGTGAATGTGTGATTGATGTGGGTGGATTGTGGGTTGATAAATCTCCTACCCGCACTTATCGGGTGGGTGATGGGTGGGTCACGGGTCACCCGAATGATCTGCACCCTATCTTTACATGAAAAATAGTTGTTTCTTATTTATACTAACGAATATTCATCATACTTCTCAACCGACACTAAACACTAACCATCGAATTCTAAAGAAGAAAAATAAAGAAAATTTTTGGGCTACTCTATTGGTCACTATGTAGTGTAATGTCCAATATATATTGAGATAAAAATTATAACTATTAATTGTATCTAAGTCGCTAAAAATGTGAACTTTCTCTACATAATAGATTGATGAAATAATGAAGATTGATGAAACAATGAAGATTGGACACAAGTACTAAGCATGTCTGTAGAGAACAAATTGGCGAGAAGTGTCTAAATTGAGGCAATCTTACTCATTTGCGTGAAATTTAATATAAATATTAGTCAACTTGTCTAATTACTAGTTGAGGAATTGTATTTGTGGGTTAACCCATAACCCAACCGCACCCATCCGCCACCCACCCAACCCAACCCGAAGTAGTGTGTGGGTGGATTGCGGGTCAACATTGTACCAACTCGTTAGTAAACAGGTGAGTCAGTTTTAAATCAAAACTCACCCAATCCGCCCATTGCCCCACCCCCTAGTCATGTTTGTGTCCTATCAGGTTTCAGGTATCCAAGTTATCCATGTGTAATAATTTCTCTTTATCAAATATGTTATTACCAAAAAAATATCAAATATGCTGGGAAGAATAATGACCATTTATAGATAAAATATATATGCATGTATATAGTCGGGCATGTTCTGGTTGGAAGAAAATCATGTCCACCCATTATCCACAAAATTCTAATTCAGGTTTTATCCATACCCACAGAATATCTTTCGGGTTCGGATTTTACCTTATCTGATTAGGTCAGAATTTGGTTTTTACCATATAATCAAATCAAATAAGCAAACAATATATTCATTTAAATTCATAATACCAATAAATCTATAGTAAATCTTTGATTTTCTCAAACTTAAATCTATACTATCTATCTATAACTTATATTTGGCCGTTTTGGAGCAATATTTCGCCACATAGAATTCAAGAAACTCCACAATTTTCAATGTCCTCTTTTATCTTTTATTTTTTTCCATAAATCTATATGCTGCACTAAGCTAAAAATAATAAAGAGATATTAATCATCACAACTAAGAATTGAACCTATAACCCGTAAGTTTCAAATTATTATATCATTAAGAGTGTTAACCAATTATGTAAATTCTATTTGATGATATCAACTACAATAATATTATTACTCATATCATGAAACGGAGTTAACACTCTATGTCTGACTGTGGTCTTCTTTTTTACCGGTTTACCTTCGAATCAATTATGAAAATATGTGTACTAAATTTTACATAAATCAAAGCACGAGAATCCCTATTATATTTTCTATACACCATAGAAAATATCATTAATAAATAAAAATAACTTTCATTCAATTTTTCTTCATAATAGGTTCAATAAACAATTAAAAATATTTGAAAAAATCATAAATGAAAAAATAAAATGTAAAGCTGAAATTAAATTATTATCCAAATCCAACACTTATTTAATTTTTATATCATATTTATTTCAAATTGAAAAATATGAGAAATCAAAGGATACCCCTCTTTGGTTTTGTATCACACCAACAACATAACATTTTGTATGTAGTACTATAAATATGTGTAGTAATACACTAATATAATTATATCCTAAATAATAATAATTTTTATATCCTAAATAATAATAATTTTTATGTGTACTGCGTTAGTTGTTGATTATATTTTGAAATAAAAATGCTCATTTATTAAGTAAAATACGTTATCATAATCATGTGTTAATGTGACATGTTCTTACACCATAAAATTATTAGAACATAAATGCATAGTTGAGTCATGTGTCACCATGATACAATATAATTCCATGGGTAATGTCTATTTTTTATCCAAACATTTTTCAGATTTTTTTATATTCTCCAAACCTATTAAAATGCTATTAATTAGCTAAATCTTTCGTAATGCATTAAAATATTAGCCATTTTTACGCTATCGTTGATAATTTTGTAACTCTTTTCTTAGTTAAAATACCAAAATTTTGCAATTTTGACTTTCATGTGTCTCTTCCAAGTCAATATTACTAACAAAATTACTAACTGAAAGTTGACATTTGGATAATTATTAGTATTTCGATAGGTTTGGAGAATATAAAAGAATCTAAAAAAGATTTGGATAAAAAATATACATTACCCTAATTCCATTTGTGTAAGAATGGCATTGATGGTCATCAAGTTTTTTAACCAAGTTATTTGTCTTGCTGAAAAGCGTCATTGGTGAACTCACAAGAAAACCGAACTATATAATGTATCAATGAAACGAATTTGACATCCCTCATTTATGAAATACATCTAATTATTTTCCTAACTTCTATGTAGACTTTTTTAAAAGAATATCTTTACTTTTTGGCAAAATACACTTGAATAACCATAACTTTCACGTTTTTGACAAATATAGCCATAACTATCAGAAAACACAAAATAGCCAAGAAATCGGATGGTCATGTGACAAATCTAGCCATTTCCGTCAGAAACTTTAACGGTGTTAGCATCGGTGTTAGAGATGCCGTCAAATTCTGTGATAGAACGCTGACTTGGATCCAACTCAACGTCCACGTAAGCAATAAATTAGAATAACTTTACATGTAGATGCCACGTCATCAAATATTTAAAATAACAATAATTTTTTCTATTTTTCCTCTTATTCTCATCCACCTGCATGCCCACTCTATCCTACCTTCTCCCAAACTCGATTAGGGTTTTGAGACACCCATTTCAATCGGTGGCGCTCACTATCAATTCGATCCAGTCGCTTCATCATAACAACCAATTCCAGGCCTCCACCACCCTCTTCCCCTCTTTCCTCCCCTCTCGCCACCGCCACTGCCACCGCCACCGCCGTCGGCCCCGCCCCGCTAATCGTACACCTGAACGAACGCCGTCGAGTGAGGGAGAGGCGGATGCTGGGTTCGCGCTGGTGACGAAAAAGATAAGGGTGGCGCTGCTGCTGTAGATTGGAATGTCGCGCTGTCTGTGGAATTGCAGCCAGGCGGGAGCGTTGTTGATCTAGATCTTTATCACCCGACGAATAGGGAGACGATTCCACGCCAAAGACAAAGAAGAGATGATTCCCCACCGCGGTCTCCCTGCTCGTTCTCCACATCTTCATGCTCTCGTTGGAATTTCTGGGTTCCGTTGGGATTTTGGGAATTTTGAGTTTCATTGAAAATCGACAATTGACTTGAGACCTGATTAATTGCCTTTGAGGGATTCAAAGGGAGGTAATGGGTGGAGGAAAGGAGGGATGGAGATGATGTTGGCGGCAGCGGGGACTCGTAGCCTATAGGGTTTTCTTCATCTTCGATTTTAGGATGGGGTTTCTGGGTAATGGGCTAATGGGTAGTTGATGGGGTTTCTGGGTAATGGGCTAATGGGTAGTTGATGGGGTTAGTGGGTGACAGATTATTTGTTTTATTTTATTTTTCATTTTATTAGATCAGAAAAAATTGCATTTATATTATTTATATTTTTTTTGTCAATACACGTGTCCGACAAAAATGCCACGTCAGCATTTCCGCCAGTCCAGTCAGACTATAAAGTCTACGACGAGGAGCGGGCGCTTGGCACATGAGCGACGGAGCGGCAATGGACGAGCATTTCGTCGAGGGAGATAGGGAGAGTAGTGTCGTGGACAACCATGGAAGCGGAGTCGCCTTCGCCGGCGCCAACAGGTGGCAGTTCGTCTTCTCCATCGGACCGATGGTGACTAACGACGACGACGCGAGTACGTATCTACGGAGGATGGCTTCGATCTTGACGACGATGGCTCCGAGGGCGGCAATGTAGATCTGGAAAATGACGACAAACAAGGCGGTGTCGAGGAAGTCGGAGATTGGACGGAGGAGGTCGATGGTGGAGGGAAGATGGAGGTCGCCCTGGTGGAGGGAAGATGGAGGTCGTGGCGACGGAGGGTTAAAGAAGATGACTGGCGGCGAAATGGGGATGAGTTGGTGTTGCGGGGGGTTCTTTGCCGAGAGTAAAGAGAGAAGAACTAGGGATTTTGACTTTCTGGTCCTGCTTTTAATTTGTTGCTTTTTTATTTTATTTTTAATTTTTTCCATCAGATTAAATACATAATTATTTAATGATGTAGTGACAAACATAAGCCACATCAGCAGTATTTTGCTGAGTCATCAATGATAAGAATATTTGACCGTCAATTTTAACGGTCAACACAAGTTTCGTGCCAAAGTTGTCCATTACTTTGAAAAGAAGGCCATAAATGTCTTATTGAAAAATTCGGGCCAGAACTGTCACTAGCGCTAAACTTCGGGCCAAACTAGGGTATTAACCCTAGTTATGGCTATATTTGTCACAAACGTGAAAGTTACGGCTATACAAGTGTATTTTGCCTTACTTTTTTGTTTGATTCAATTCTAATATCTTTTATTTAGTGCTATTTTTGGGCATAATTCTTTCTTTGTATTATGTGCATGAAGATAGAAAACCTTGCGTCAAGTCATACACATAACCTAAAATGCGCCAGTCTAATAATCAAGTTTCAAAATTGGACATATCTCATGGTTGAAATTCAAATAATGTTTTAAGAACCTAATCTTATAAATTGCACTGTATCTTCTTCAATTTAAATAGGATTATTTCAACAATTTTGTACATAAAAATGAATTAGCTGTGATTACAACACATTCATTATATATTTTTGGTTAAAATTTTTCAATCATGTATACCAGCATGGCATAGTTTTCATACCACCATGATATAAGATGCCTTCATGTACATTCTTTTTTACCAAAATATATCACAGTAAATGTCATTTTGTAGAGTATATTCATTTGATTTTTTATGCAAAAAATATGAAATCCGAGTTCAAACATATAAGATATAGTCTATTAAAATTAAAGTGAGAGTGGTTATACATTTGTGTTTATTTTTAGGGTTATGCACCTGGACTGTTCCAGACAAGTTTCGCAATTGCCTTTTGTCTTTTGAAAAAGATTGAAGTGAGATTCAGTTACCATTTTCGTATTTTAACTCTGATAAAGTCAACCCTGCTTTCAAAATTTTCTTTTCATTATCACCTTTTTTCTTACACAATATTAGCTCTCTTTTTTGCAGACATTTGTATGTCAACTCCACTCAAGTATTGCTTCCGCTTATGCTTTACTCAAGTCGCCTTCATTCCAAATTCCTTCATCATGCCTTTCTAGGTTGGTTTTTGACAATCTCTCATCCCCATTCAATTATAAGTAGTAAAAATTTATTTACCAATAAATATACATCAATTAGTCTATAATAGTCATCAACTAATTCATGTAAGTTGTTCATTAGAATGTCTATGAGGAAACTCAATTGCATAAAATAAACTTGATTATTTGTAATTGTACTGATGATGGACAGTAAACTATCAGGAAGAACAATATAGCTATCATCACTTTTATTTTCATTGGATATTTGATTATTGAATCTACAAAACACTATAAGCCAATGTGCAAAAGCCTGCTTTGCCACGTCATCCCCCGCTAATTAACCCGCACAGTTCGGAGGGTCACTTTGGTCATTCATTCATTACAAAATAGCTTCAGTTTGGGCCTGATTGAGCCCGTTACATTTTTGTCCCCAACTGCCTTTTCTTATCCTTTAGCAATCGGTGGTAGGGTTTTTCACTGTCTCCATCTCCACGACTCCACCTGATTTTTGTGTCGGCACCCTTAGCTGTGAGATTAATCTCTCAATTCCAATTTACAACAAACTATGGCGGCGACTGCCCTAAATTTTTTGTCAGTGATGCTAGCTGATTAAGGGGCCCTTATCCATTGCTCCAATGATCCTGAGTCTCTGATTCCGCTAAATGTCAGAGTGTTTGGTTCAAATGGCGCGTGGAATTTCAGTTTGTTCCACAACACGGTCATTACTCGGCGCTTCTCTGCTTACCAGATAGCCATTTTGCTCGGCCGTTGTGACGGGCTTTTTCAAGCCATGGGTTTCCTTTAATCGCCTGATCGCAAGAAGCAAGAGCCGCTTCAGGTGGTGCAGCTTCCGATCTGTTGGTGCCGGGAACGTCGGTGGTGCGCTGCGGTTATCGGAGCTTCAGCCTACACATCCAAAGTTTTCGGTCTACAAGAAACGTGGGTAAGCAGTTATTTTTCATGAAAAACACTGTCTTCGTTGCTCGCACTCTACTAACCTGGTGGCGGACGGTTATTACCTTATTCCAAAGTAACACGATCTTCTCAACTGCCACCAGTTCAACCTTGATGTGCCGACTAACATGGGACTTGCGGTTACTTTGCTGGGAGCCTATAAATTCTGCCGACGAGAAATTGCTCTCAGACTTACGCCCTTATCAGTTAACAAAGCAGAATGGCGCCGCAGCTGTTGAAGGATTTAGCAACTCATTCTCGAAAATGGATCATTCAATGTCGTGTCTCTCGGAAGTGGATCGCAACTAACTGCAACTCAGGAAAAGTTCTGCATTTGGACATGGTGCTCATCGATTCCGAGGTAATCTTCTATCTTTGTTTAGAAAGAGTAGCTACAATGTTATTACGGCTGGGACTTATGTTTATTTGTTTACATATTAGGGATCAGACATTTGGGCAATGGTTCCTCCACTGTTGATTCCGAAATTTGAATCCAGTCTAATAGAACAAGAAGTGTATGAGATTAGGCATTTCAAGGTTGCAATGACGAAGAACACATTTAGGCCTGTTCCTAATCGTCTGATGATTGAGTTTGATGCTGCCACATTAGTCCAGCATATCAAAACAGTGTCGCCAATACTTGCTTATAAGTTCTACTTTCTCAATCATGCTGCTATGATGAAAAGGTTGTACGATAAGAAGAACCTTTCAGGTAGAGTGTTCTTTCTTTTGTTCTTCATTGCCAATCCGTGTGCAGTTTGATAGTAACAGCAACATTTTGCTGCAGATGTAATTGGACAATTGATTGACCATGTCAGCCTAACCTCGCGAACCTCAGCTGCAAAACGCTGGAAGGAGATCACAATAAAACTCATTGGGTTAGATCTAAAAGCCTCTATTTGCAATTTCAATTCGTTTTTTATTGATAATCTGAACCATGACTTTTTTCTTTGCTTTGATTCTGGGTATTATTAATGTTAGAGGGGAGATGGTGAAAGTCACTTTGTGGGGGAGTATTGGGAAGCAATTAGAAGACATCATCTCTCGCAATGAACGGACAGCTGTCATTCTGACCATTACCTCTGTGTTTGTCGATGAATTTAAAGGTTCGGCACAGACAAGCTTATTTAGTTCCTTTTGATTTGCAAGTTTGAAAATTATTCTAACTGTCTTATTTGTTTTTTTTTTTTACAAGGGGAAATCTGTTTGTCATCAACAGGAGCAACTCAGTTGAAGGCCAACTTGGATATTCCAGAGGTGCTTGAGTTTAAGGCAAGGTATGAGTGGGATCCTGTACTTGAGTGCTTTTAGCTGCAGTTTACTTCGGCTTCCTATTAAGTTCAGCCATTATGAAAATGCAAGAATGAACTTAGTGTAGTTTTTACTCCTGTTTCCTTGCATTCCATCTATTTGTAGTTGTTTCATTGCATGAATTTAGGGTCTTCACAATTGCTTCCTAAAATAAATTTTGGATTTGCTTTTTCATTTGTTTCTAGGGACACAAATCTGCCAGCACCTGTGCTGCTTCCTGAAGTACCAGCTCCCGAGATTCCAAAAATTTCACTAGCTCAACTAAATGATTTCAAAAGCAATGAAGCACAGACTGTATGCTTTTTTTTCTATAGAAATGTTTTCATTTCAGCACCTTCTTTTTTTACATGAAACCAAGTTTTTTGTTTCTGTTTTCAATGAACTTCAGGACAAACTATTTTCGGTTGAAGGAAAGGTGACTCAAGTGCGTCCTAATTGGTGTTACATGGGCTGTGTTGCATGCCCGCGGAAGGTGGAGGAGGATCTGGAGGAGTATTTTTGTGGCCACTGTAAGACAACATCTTCCATTGCTAAAGCAAAGTAAGCTAATCATCTTTTTTTCTTTGTACATTATCCATTCTAGATGTTTTGTTGTCTGAGTTTGATATCAAACTAATATGTTACACCAAAATTATTGTGAGATATGGAGTTGTATGAATTTGCTTATCTTTTTTGCATGATCACTGTAGGTATAGAGTTAAATTCCAGCGGGAAGATAGTTTTGGAGAGGCTGATTTTGCCATCTTGGAGCATGAAGGGCTGCGCTTTTTTGGAGTAATGGCTGATGAGTTATTCCAATCAAACCAGAGGAACAAAGAACCTCTTCCGCCCCAGATTCATCAGATTGTAAACATGACACTGAAGCTAACTGTTAAACTAACTGAGTTTAACATCATGAACCCGCAAACTGAGATCTCTGTGGTCAGCATTGACCATGATCCTCTTCAGGTAAATGAACTTCCAGCTCCATATCAGTTTGCTTTAGTTACAGCCTACCAAATTAACTTTATAGTTCTAACCTACCTTATTATGTCTACCACGTGACTTGCAGCAACTCAATAAGGATCTGTGTGCAAAGGACCTTGGAGGAGTAACCTCAGTTGGAGAGAAAATGGAAGCTGCACTTGATTGTGAGGCTGACGATCAAAAGTAGTGTTGTTGCAGCCTTGCTCCACCTAATCCCCTATATATCAAGCATTCTATTTAGTATTATTGTTTCGTCTATGGGATGTTCCGTTTTATCTTTTTATTCAGATCCGTATTGAAACTCAGGTTATAGGTTATTCCTCTTATGTTTAGTATGAATTGCGAACGATATTATGGTTCTTTGCCTTCTATGTTTCTCTATCTGTTGGACAGTTTTATCTTTGCTGTCATTTCTTCGTTTTGAATCAATTTTGCATCATAACTGTCAAAGCCATCTGAAGCTTAGTTGAGTCAGTTTCAGCTATTGTCAGGGATTACTGATTTTGTAAGATAAACAGGTTGTTTGTGTCATTTGTCAGTTCCATCAATACAAAATTTCATGCATTGTTACCATTTCTGATTGCTTCTCTTTGCTGTCATTTCTTTATATTGATTCTGCTTGCTTCATTTTTCTGATTTCCAGATTCTGTTTGCTGTCCATTTTGTCATTAATTATGTTTGCTGCATTACTTTGATTTCTGATTCTGTTTGCTGCATTTTTCGGATAATCTTATTGTGTTTGTTGTCCATTTTGAGATTGATTATGTTTGCTGCATTATTCTGCTTTTTTGCATTTTGTGTGCTGCATTTTCAGATTTCATATGGTGTTTGCTGTCCATTTTGTTATTGAGTTACTTTGCTGCATTATTCTGCTTTCTTATTGAAATGACTTTGCTTCTCCCTTGCTAGCAGTATGTAGAGTTCAATTGTTACTCTAATTGTAGGTTAACCATTACAAAGCATAGTCTTTAACATACAATTTGCAGCGATGGTGACTCTTGAGATGGATTAGCAGCCTCAGGTTCTTAAGAAATTCACTATCCTATTGCCTTTGTGATTTTTTTTAACTTCAAAACCAACCTTAAAGACTCATGTTACAACACTAGTTATTATTAGATTGTACATTGCTATGTATCTGTTTGCCTTTTTCATATTGACATTGAATTTTATTCATCTACATTTTGAATCAAATGAATTTTAGTGGTAGATTATACTTTTCAGACCTCATTGTGTTCCTCAATTTTGAAAAACAAACCCGGCCAACGGGCCGGGCCCAATGCTAGTTAATATTGTATGGTAATGAAAAGTCAGGAGGAGTGTATCTATAACTAACATTTTTATATAATTATTAAAACGTTAAAGGTATTACACAATTATATATGTATATACTGGAAAATTATGACTAAGAATACACCTCAATTATATAGTCATAATATGCAATTGACTAAACCATATTTATTTCTTATGTGCTTATTTATCAACAAATATGTGAATTTTCATTCTTGGACACCATTCAAATACATATTAAAGTTGTGCTGATGTGATGTAAAAAACAAGTACATCCTAGAAAAGGAATTATGCACAACAAAAGTTTCACTTTGTTGTCTTACGTCTTCACATGAATTTAACATTTAACCTCTAATCATGGTATTTTTTATTTTATTGGTTGATATTCATCATTTTAAAAGTATTGACTCTAATATTTATATACATTATACTCGAAAAAGATCACGAATAAAATATTTCATTCTACTTTTGTTAAGAAATCATTAACAACTAAATTTTTTTGTTTCAATAAGAGTTTATTAATGTTTGAATAAAATTATACATAAATAAAAAGAGAAATTTAGTTATTAGCCAAATCCAAACTTTTCTTTGACTTTTCATGTCACGTTCATTTCAAACGAAAAAATTAGAAATCAAACAATAACCTTTTTCATATACTAAAACACCAATGATACAACTTTTTTTGTACTATTGTAGTTTGAATAATGAACACGAGTTATACGTGTTCTAAATTCGGGGATAAATTTATCATTGATTGAGAAATCTACTACCAGAAGATCAAACTATTAAGTATGTTCATTTGTACATTCATCAAACAGAGAATCGGGTTGAAAACAACTCCATTTTATCATATGAAATGATAAAATGGTAAAGTTCAGATGTACATAATGATCTATAATAGTATCATAGAGTTTAGTTCTATGAGTGACAACATCGATAACATCTCAATTTCTAATGGTTTTGTTAGTGTGACATATCGTAGTTGCAAAATATTTTGAGAGTACATAAGGATCTACAATGGTATCTTTTGACTTTAATTATATGAGTGTCAAGATAGATCATTATTTGAATGATGTGCAAGGGTTATATGTATCAATCAGAGGACAAATTTAGCATTTATTGAACAGTCTACTACTAACATAATGTTCAATTTCTAAGTTAGTTGAGTTATACATTCATCAAAGGAAAAATAAGTTGAAATGAATTTGATTTGATCATTACATATGATAATTTAAAATCATGTGCGTGAATTTTTTTTCCACGAGACTGAAAAATATATTAGACGCTCACAATATTTGGCCCAAACATATAGATGCACGAAAGGCAAAATCAATGAAAAAGTTATGTACGAGTACAACATATGATGTTGAAAACTATTGGTCAATCAAAGAGCAAATGATCATGAATATAATCTTCAAAATAGCGATGAAGTTATGACTCTTATTGTTTTACATGATAGTTGCTCTTAGGTACACTCAAACTAAATATAGTGACCCTACTATCAAACAGAGCTCGAATGATAAATAATAGGCAAAATACACTTCTATATCCTTAACTTTCACAGTTGTAACAAATATATCCATAACTATCGAAATACACGAAATACCCAGAAAAGCGTACTATCGTGTGACAAATCTATCCATTTCGTTAAAAACTTTAACACCGTTTGTTACGGCGTCAGTAAATGTGACAGAACGCTGACTAGGACCATACCCATCTCACACCTAAGCTCCACGTCAGCATAATTTGAGCCATGTCAGCAAAAAATAAAAAATAAAAATAAAAAATAAAATTAATTCTCTCTGCCCCAATGATTTCTTCTCTCTCCCGTAGATCCAGCCTCCATAGCTCGCCGAATACTCCTCCTAAACCTAATAATCAGATCCCCCATTACTCCTCTTAAACCTAATAGCTTATGAGATTTCCCGTCGCAAACCAAATCCTCCCCCCTGCTGCCCGTACCCAACCTCGAAGAGTAGCATTCAACATCAAACAAAAGGAGGAAAGGGGGAAATCGGGTTCTGGGGATTTGAGAAGAAGTTGGCTCTTCCCCTGCCAACTGCTACCACTGAGAAGAAGCTTATTAGGCAAAAGAGATCTGGATCCGCCTCCAATCTTCCTCCTCAGTGGAAGATCTGGATCCCCTGTTTTGGTCGACGAGATAAACAGAGGGTTTCTATCCACTCCGCCACTTCCTTTCCCCTTCAACTGCTGGATAAATCGAGAAGCCATGGGTTGAGAAGATGAAGAGAAGATTGACGTGGAATTGGAATTCCAAGGGTTCGTGGCCAACAGCTTGGCGGATCTGGATCTGCACCACCTCCTCGGCCAGAGCGTCGGGATCGACAAGGTGTTGTCGACAAGTTGGAAGAGTCGCAGTTGCAGGCGCAGCCGCTAGGCATGTTCGTCGGCAGGGATGGGAGAAAAGGACCCGAGTCGATGAAAATCAAAAAGTGGCCACCGAGTTTTGGAGAAATCGGAGAAGGGAAACCCTAGGCGGAGAAATCGAAGAGGTAGAGAAGAGCATTTTATTTTTTTTATTTTAGGCGTTTTTTCTGGGTTTAAGTCCCGTATATTTCTCTTTCTGTTTTGTATTTTAATTTTTGTTATTTTTTTCTTTATAATACACGTCATTTGGTGGGGTAAATCAATCGCCAACTCAGCTTCTACCGTTAGTTTAGTTATGTCGTCAACTGACGCCGTTAACAAAATGGACGGAATTGGGTATTTCGTGTATTTCGATAGTTATGGATATATTTGTCACAAACGTGAAAGTTATGGATATACAAGTGTATTTTGCCTAAATAATATTAATAATTTTTTACAAAGAAAAATAGTAGCCTATCACTATTTAAAAAATAAAAAAAAAGGAAAGATGATAGGCACAAAACTAGTTTTACTAAAATAAAAGCAAATGAGCAAGTTAGTGGTTTAGTCTTATAGGGAGGGAACTGGCTGGCTCTCTCCCAGGCCAGCTATATGTTTACTAATTACTAGTCAAATTTTGCAGTTACCCTGTCATAGTATAACCCCAATGGTAGAAACTTGCCACAAGTCACAAGTGGGTAGCCCTAGTGTAGGACTAAATAGTCTTTGGCTTTTTGTCATTTTATTTGTTTATGGCCATTTGCATAGCTAATTCTGTCTGTAAGTGCAGAGCCCTAGCACCAAAGGCCTCCCTCCCTATTTCGAATCTCCCGCAAAGACAACAAACTTAACAATTCAATGTTGCACCATAAAGGAGGAACACATGTTGGCTCAAGTGTCATTGCTAATGATATATTGATTTTGTTTGAGAGGAGAGGTTTGCACTCGTTGTTTTAGCTAGTTAAAATGCGAAATATGAGAAATAGAAGTAGTATATCAGGGAATTAAGGTTAAACCGTTGGAGATGGGGTCAGTCAGGGGCGGATGCCAGGAACACCCCTAAATTTTGGAAAAATGATTATCCAACCCTCAATGATAATTTATGTATGGACAAAAAAATTATAATTAGTAGTACGGGGCACCCTGAAATTTGAAGAAACCATCATCCTACTCTCGTTTGTAGTTTGCGAATGAGAATATATGTGATAGTTTGAGTACGTAATTCAAACCCTGGACACTACTACTATTAATAAATATAATTTACATTAGACTACAACTAGTTGTTCTATTCTAAACACCGTGTAATAGCAAAACCCTACTCTCTATCTTTAATTATTTTCAAAACCTAACAATTAATCTAATTACAAGCTACCCTTAATTTTTATTGATTTTATGGTTGTAGGACAAGTGTTGAAAGTGTCTTTTCAGCTTTGAGTCACATCAAGAACAAATTTAGAAATCGAATATGCGTCAGTTTGTGAATGATTGTCTAGTAGGATGTACCGATAAAACTTTGTTGAGCAGTGTAGACACCAAGTGTATTTTATAAATTTTTTTAGAATATGAAAATACATCATGGACTTTTTTAACTTGTACAAGTTGGGTATTTTCTTATTTAAAAATTATTTAATTGTTATTAATTATTATTTTTATTTTTAATTATTTTTTGAAAGAGGACACCCCTATGTAACATTCTTGGGTCCGCCACTGAGGTCAGTTAGAAGAAAGACACATCTCACAACTGGCCAACCCCCTCCTTCAACACTTTCAGATTGTTTGCGGATTTCGTGATATCCATTTGAAACAAGGTGACGCAAAATATGATTCGATAATAAATCCATATTCATTTCATTCTCGTAACTCGTCCAACAATCAAGTCCAAAGTGTTATCTACAAAATATAACACAACAACCATCATCCTTGTTATCCTTGTTCTAACATGACATTGTTAAATCAGATTTGACCCCACAAGAATCAGACTTCAAATTTGTGATCGTCTTTCCTCATTTTGAGTTGACCTCTGATTTAGCTTAATTAGTCCGATATTGGCAATTAGGGTTTGGAATCTAGACCAAATCGTATGGGGAACCGCGGTCTCCTCATTTAGTGTGTGGTCTGAAGTGGTCTCGACCGCGGTCTACATTAGTAAATCGTAACAGACCGTGACACATTACCTACTAACTCATACCAAAATAACACTAAATTAAACTTCCATTTATGTATTTAAAGAATAAAGTTAGTTGATTCTTCATCTAGTTGGGAGCCAACAAATTGCCAAATGATCGCTTATGTGTTATCTCATTATCAAAGAATCACACAAAACCCAGAAAGATTAATCTATTATATTCACTGACAATGTCTAGACTATGGATTCGATAAAATATAAACATTATAACAATTCATTCACATTGATGAGATAAACGACCATCTTAGTGGTTCAAAATGATCTCGGCGCCATCACTATGGTGATCGTCTGATCGACCGCGAGAACCTTCGGATCACGCGAGAGAGGGAGAGAAGAAGTAGCACAAAGAGGAAGAGGGAAACAAGCTATTTGATGTGTGTGTTTAAATGGATATGAGATAGAGCCGTGGAGACTAAAGAGAGTTTGAAAATTGAAAAAGCCCACTTCTTTCATCGTATATTTCTTCTCAGTTTAATTACGATCACTAAACTTTTGTTCCACTAGCAAATTGGGCACTTGAATTTTTGTTTATCAGATATCGACGAAGGGTTGGAGGAGGAATAATAGTGAATTTTTTTAAAATGGTCTGCTTGATTTAGACCGTACCAGCCCGCACCACACAAATGTGAGCTGGTCTGGACCGTATAGTCTATGATATGATCCATAGTTTATGTTCCGACCTCTCGATCTGAACCACAAACCTATAATCTAATATAGTCTGGACCACACCGTTTCCCAACCCTATTGAAAATCATATTGCAAGATTAGCATGATGATGAAATAATGACCCCATTAGGGTTGGGAGTCTTTCCATGATTAGGGAAAGAAAGTAAGAAGCAAAAAGAAGGAAGAAAGGAGATGATGATGATGATGGTAATTTGCCTCTCTTTTCACCTACTCCTCACAACTTCACATTCAAGCAAGGCATTTTTATATGTGTAGGGTCATGATCAGCATGGGGCTTTTCCCTTTCTCATAAACAAACCGCTCCCTTTAACCTTCAATTCTTCACGTGGAATTCCTCATTCGATTCAATACCACCAAAATGGCATTGCACCATGTCCACTACGTGGATCAGCTGAATGATAACCAACTCACAGTCTATCCTCTAAAGTTGGAATCGAAAATGTGCATCATGAAGGAAATCACGTAGAAGATTGTTTGCAATTTTATATACTGCAATTTCATCATGTAAATAAATCATCTCCTTGATTGATTTGGACCTTCAGTATTCGATTAGGTATGTGAGTTGTTGTAATTTACTTTAATCTCAATTAATTCATAATATACATTATATTGTTTGTTCATGTTGTTTCTAAAATAAAAACCGAGATGAGGAGAAACCATAATATAAGCACTGTAAAGAATGTGATATGATCCACCAAGAATATAAAGTCCAAACTTTTTAGTACTTGGTGTGTTTCCTCTCCTACTTTAGTTGCTATTCAATAGCATTAGGCTAAACATGAACCTAATCCATAGGTGTTGTATTAAATTGATACCTAAAAACGTGCATTGAATTAATAGAGTTAGTTGAATTGATATAGATTCAATCGGAACAAATGAAAATCAACCAATTGTATTTTCAATATGATTCTAGTCCTCCTATTTATTTTTATGTCGTGTTTGGTTTGGTTACATATGTAATTAGATTATCAACCAATTCCGACTAAATGAACCTCTAAAGATATCAAGAGTTAATTGTCCATGTTAATGAAATAAGACTATAGCGACCATTTGTATCGAATAACTCGCCTAATTAACACTAAGTTGGTATGCTTTTATGACGATTATGTATCACTATCATGTTATCAAAATTTGAACCGTATTTCTGGATGATATGTTATTCATCAAAATTGTTAATATCCAACTATTTTTTCTGTCAAAACTTAAAAAAACATTTTGTTTTTATTTAGAAATTCAAAGGTTAAACTACTAATAAGTAATAACCGATCCACTTTCAAAAATTCCTCCCGCAAACTTTGCTCTTTTTTCTTAACCGCTCCACTCTTCTTCTCTTCCTCTTCCACCCTTTCCCTTCCCCTCAGGCCTCATTCAAATCCCAGAAAAACGTATACTTTCTCCATCTCTGTCTCCCTCTCTCACAGAATGAGATATGCATCATCATCAGAAGCCAAATCCCAATTGGTATCAGAGATTTGCTCTCTGTCGACTCTCACCATTGCCTGCATCCACAGAGACCTCCCCTGCCTCTCTTCCCCTGCTTCCCCTCACTCACATTTCATCGACTGGTATCGCCTTCTCGGTGTACGATCCTCAATCCTTTCTCCATATCCCTAAAAAGATCTCACCTTTCTATCTTCTGTCATCAACCCTTTTCATCTAACACCTTGTTTCTTCAATCTAGGTAGAAGAAAATGCAGATTTCGAGGATATTAAAAAGCGGTACCATCGCCTTGGTGGGTTCATGCTCTGTTTCTGGGTTCCAATACTCTCTGTTTCAGTCTTTTTCTGTGTAATTTTGGTGTGGTTGAGTGTTATTGAACTTTTTTTTATCGGTTTCCAATTGCAGCCTTACAGCTTCATCCTGACAAGAATGATCACCCGAAAGCTGAGATCGCATTCAAACTCGTCCTCCAGGTTTAATTCCTCTTTGATGCTTAGTCTTGTAGCTCAGTTTTGGCAAAACAGCAAGCTTCATGTGAGTAGCATTGATTGCAGGGGTACTCTGTTCTATCAGACAGTGTGAAGAGGAGAGAGTTTGATGGTGAGAGAAGGAAATGCTTCTGCGTTGTGTGCAACAGAATACCATATTCAGCACCAAAGGTGAAGGTATCCATCCACGAGAGTCGTTCGAGGGCTTACCGAATTCGGCAGGCTTTGAAAGACATAAGGGAGAGGTTCAAGGAAGAAGCTAGAGTGATGGAGAATTGTTTGAAGGTTAATGCTTCTTTATCTTCAAGAAGGGACGAAGTCCCGGTTTTCATGCCAACTTCTTCGCCGAACCAGTTGTTGTTCCGATGCAGATCGAGGAGAGAATCGCCGGTATTCGATCCATGTGACTATGGATCTGAAGGGTATCCTCATTTTAGGGAGAGGAAGAGCTATAGTAAGAAGCCTGAGAGTTTCTGGAACATGCAGAGGAGACAGAGTTTTAGTAATAATGGGCAGGGGTCAAGAAAGTTTGAGTTTCCTGTGTTTGAGAACAGGCTAGATAGAGGGATGATGAAAAGCAAACCTGCTTGCGTTCATTCATAACTCAACTATTCTTTTCCATAAATGATAGAAATTCAGCATTCTTTTAACAATTAATTTTGTCACATTTTCATGTAACCCAGAGACCATGATCTAACAACAGATGATCTCTTTTACATGAAGCTAAGAACAACGCTTTAAACTTTAAAAAGGAAAAAGAAACTTGTTGCTAGCATGAAGCAAAAGAACAGAGAAATATGCAGCTCAAAAAGACAAGAAAAACAAGCTTCCATAGTCTGCTATTAGCCAATTACAAGTCTGTCGTTACAAAATTGGTACATAAGTACGAGCCAAATATCGGTTTTTGCTTTGAACCCTTCTGTCATACTCTCATTCAGCTGATAATTTACACTTTTTAGTTACCTCCTTATGTTCCGAAATTTTGAGAACACCGTCCTTGATTAATGGCTGCAGCTCTTTCTTGGCGAGTTCACGTACTTTATCATCAGTAGAGTCCAAGAAGGCGTGTATTACCTTAGAACTGCAGAATGGACAAGGAAAATGGGTTAAGATCAAGCTGTCATTTGTACCATACATTATGAGAGAGTGAGCCGCAATTGTTTTATCCTAACTGACCTGTGACCTTGAGCCCACAAGCTACACTTCCCATTCAAAACCCTCTTCCACAGAACGGCTGCGAAACCTGGGGAATCCAAGATCAGCTTTCTGATCGTTCTGCTGGAGTGAAAATTCTCAAAGACGTGTTCCTTTCCTGGCTCTTCGGATTTTGGCTCTGCTGCAACAGATGCTATCGCCTCATGCAAGGTGTTCAATTTCTCACCAAGTGAAGGGAAAAGAATTCCTTCAGAACCACCCGTTGCAACCTACAAATAGTAACAACATTATTCTAGAAGAATGCCCTAATGATCAACTTCTTGATCAATTCACCCTTATTATAATGTCAATGAGGAGATTATTGACATACTTCGTACAAGACTTCCTTGCCGAAATTTGATCTAAGCAACTCTTCCACATTTTCCGTGCATACATCAATGATACTCTGCAAATGACATCAACATTAAACTAGACAATCCAATCTCCCCTGGAGATTAGCACAAGCGCAAACAGGCAACAACATGCATTTAACTGTTTGTGTAGTGAAAGTGTGAAACAACTAACCTCAGCAAGGCCACTTTCAACCAATAATTCCTGTCTTCTTGTCAAAGGGTCTTTCTTTCCACCCTCCACCAAATCTTCAGTTTCATCTCCCTCAGCCATTGAATCTTCCTTTACATCATTTTCCTCATCGCCAGGTTCTTCATTTGTTTCAGGGTTCTCTTCTGCTTTGGATATGGATTCAGCTGCAACCTGGCAACATAGCAATGCAAGTGGCATTAGAGATGAAAAAACCAGCAATAGAGACTAGAGAAGGTAAAAAGAGTTATGCAGCACCTTTGCACTGAGAGAGGGAATGGATAAATTCAGAGAAGCCATTTCATCAGGACTGAAATAGCGCGAACAGTTTGGGTGAAGTAGCTGCAATATTGGACGCCTTCCATTCTGACATTTCAAAGTCATAAGGGAGAAGAAACGGGTGAGAGCAACCTAGATAAGAATTATCTCATGTTCATAAAAAAAAGGAATTATTTCACATAAGATCATATCCTCTCTATTCTCCTCAGCTTCCCAAAGCACAAACAGAAAAATAATAGGGATTTGATAACCAACTTAGGTTATATCTTCATCAAACAAAATATGATTGCTACTTGCTCAGTTATAATGACAAAGTATGTGCCGAATTATGTGACTTATAATTTGCAGACAATACTGACCTTATCAAGAACGAGATCCTTCAAACTAGTTTGAAGCTCACGAATCACAATCTGTAACAAAGAGACATTGATAAAACCTCCATCAAAATTCAAAAGAAACATTCAAATAAAATGAGCAAAACAGCAACTCGCCATTGCAGCAAATGTACCTTCGTCAGGAGTTTTGTATCATCCACAGTGGAACAAATGCATGCAAGCACCTGAAAAAAGAGATTGAAAGCACAGCACATTAGAGATTGTTCTTACAAGGGTGGAAAATTGACCCTCAAAAGAACTGTTGGTAGAAAAGAGAATAAACTGACTAAATAAAGCTATCTTACCAGGCTTCCATATTGGTCATAAGCAATCTTTAATATATGGCTTTTCATTCCTTTGACAATCTTCTTTCTTTCCTGATCATGATAAGGAATGATAAAAGTTAATTACAGCGTAAGAGTAGAACCCTATTATACCTAACCAAATGCACAAGCAGCTTAAACTTTGTTCAACATAAGTTTAATATCAGGGCAAGCACAAACCTTTGCACTCCCATGTTTGACACAAAGCGTGCCAATCCGAGACCCGTCCTTAGTATGGATCATTCGAACAAGAAGTGGACCGGACAATTGCTCGAGAACGTCGGCTGCAGAGAACTACAGACAAACTCATTATGGCAAATGCAAAAAAGTTTCTCCTAAAGGAGAGCCGATACTGTAACATTTCAACACACCTTATCAGCTATGCTTAAGTACTCCATAAGCACCCGATGTATGATAGAGTGGTCAACAATTCCCTTCTCAAGAATTGGTTGAATCACAGAAGTCATATGTCGTAACACTGAATTTATCTGAAGGTTCAGTTTAGCGATGACATCCACCAACCTGACAGATGACTTGGATTAAGTGACTGCACTGTAATACAAGAGCCCATAAGATTATCACTGCTAACACAATAAATATCTATTAAGTTGACATTACCTGCTCTCTTTGATTAAGGAAAGATCCTTAAACAACTGGAGCTCGGTGGAATATAACTCCAGCAAAAGCTCCTGTCTTTGAGTTCCATTACCAGCTTGGTATGCATGCTCAACAACTGAAGGGAAGACGAACGGGATGTTAAAACATGTTTTTTAAGAGGAGAAGTATTCACCACCCTTAAAAGGTAAATGACGGACTCGAAGAAAATTGCTTCTTGAGCAACATACCAACTGATCCAACCATGTGGCGAAGAAGAGAAGCAACTTGCCCGCGGAGGGAGGAGACGAAATCTCCCAGCTGCCTCTTGGAAGCTGCATACAGAACACACGCAAGCAGCTGTCAAGATGAAGACACTTAAAAATCAGTGTCGAGCTTATAGCAAATCTTATTCAAACATACCACTGTCCAACATTTTCTTGACGAGATGAACTGCATACGGGTTGCAAGCAAAGTTCAGGAAATGCGGCCTCAGCTCACTGAACACAACATCCCTCTCAGTCTGCGAGCAATACTTTACACAAGTCTGGTACGTAAAGCAAACAAAATCAAACAATCAAATTCTGTTACCACACATGATTCAGTAGCAACCAACTGAAAGAGTAGATGGTAAGAGAATCACCTGAAGAACACGAGAAGAAACATGAGAAGTAGCAATTTCAGGTATCTTCCCTTTCATCTTCTGTATTGCTTCGCTAATCAACCTAAGGAATAATTCACAGTAAGCCAAAAATAAAACACTTGGCAAAAGCTGAAGAGATAGAATCAATGAACGAGTGAAGCTTCGTCTAACTTGGATCTATCTTCCTTGGCTATGTTACGCTTTCTCATTTTCTCCCATAGCTTGGCAAGCTCCTATCCAATTGAAATTTACCCAAACCAATAAAAATTAAACCCCAAAGAAATGGACGAAATGGCAGAGCTAAGTAAAAGAAACGACAAACAGCTTACTTGCTCCAAACTGTAGTGCCTTTTCCTCTTCATCTTCCTCGCCTCAGCCAACTCCTGCAGCGAAACCCAATAACCCCCCGAACCCAGAAATCAATTCCCCGAAACTCTCCATTAACATTTCGATTTTGAGTTGATATATAAAAACAGTTCACCACCTTAGCCTCGATTCGGCGATCTCGCTTGGATAGCGGCTCCTTCGTCTGTTTACTATCTTCACCATGACTGGACTTCGCATGTTTCTTCACTGGCTTAAAAGGCTTCTTCCCGTTATTATCGTCAACCTTCGAGCTGCCCAACTTCGGCTTTTTGGTGGAGGAGCCGTCCCGGCCGGGTTTGGACGCCGGAGATTGCTTCCTCTTCAATTTTTTGCTGTCTTCCTTGTGAGCCGCCATCGTTATGCAAAAGCTCGAGTTCGGTCTTCTCCTTTTTTCCCTCCGATTATTTGTTCGCAGGGTTTTTCCAGGGTTTTTCTCTTGGTTTGGTTCGGAATCGGATGCGGGTCGGGTTACTAGAAAGCGAATTGTCTAGTGGGTATACTATTTTGGGCCAAATCTATGAACATTCTTGGGCCCATTATGCTTCAGGTCAGTTGGACCTTGTCCGTCGCGCAATCGGTTCGGCCCAACCTCTCAGAGTAATTAGGATCCCAACTAATTATTCAAAGTTCATGTCTAATCCACAAATTAGTTGGAATGGCCATCCTTAGTATAGAATAAATTTAGCCTAGGCCCGATCCAATTTCAAAATAAGTTTCAATCGATCAAATCAAATTATTCACAAATATACGTCAAAACGGATGATCGTTGAGTCATAGCATTTTTAGAGCAGTTAAGGATAAGTCTTGGAAACAAATTACTTTGTCTGTGAATGGACCTCCTCTCTCGCATCTCTTCTTTGCGGATGACCTGGTTCTTTTTGCTGAGGCCTCAACTTTTCAAGCTACTTGCTTGTTGTCTTGTTTGAATGAGTTCTGTGAAGCCTCTGGGGAGCTGATTAGCAAGGATAAGTCTCGTGTTTTCTTTTCTCCTAACACTAGAAGCGATATGAGAAAGACTGTTTGTAACACTCTTGGAATCCAATCCACCAATGATTTAGGGAAATATCTTGGGTTTCCAGTTCTGCATGGTAGGATTACTAGGAACACCTATAGATATATCCTGGATAAGATTGATAAAAGGCTGACTGCTTGGAAAGCAAAAACGCTCTCCCTTGCAGGGAGAGTTACCCTTGCTCTCTCTGTTTTGAATGCTAGACCAACCTATGCCATGCAAACAGCCACTCTCCCTGCTTCTGTGTGTGATGCAATTGATAGAAAGATTAGGTGGTTTGTTTGGGGATCACATGAAAGAAGGAGAAAAGTTCACCTTGTGTCGTGGGATACTATTTGCAAACATAAAAGTCAGGGTGGTCTCAGCTTAAATCTACTAGAAGTCTCAACTTGGCTTACATGATAAAGATTGCGTGGCTCATGTTCAATGATGAAAAAGCTCTTTGGGTGCAGGTCTTACGGGGAAAGTACTTTAATGATAAAGATGGAATGATTATCTCTATGAAGAAGAGCAATCACTCATGTTTGTGGAAAGTTGTCCTCAAAGAAATGCTATTGATGAAGAGCGCCACAGCCTTGAGTGTTTGTCCACTGGTTTCTGGACCCATCCTTGGATTGATCAGGACACCATCCTTGCTGACTTCCTGCAACAGGATATTAGTGAGGAAGAGAGGAGCTCTGTTGTTGCGGACTGGACCACGGAGGTAATTGGGACTGGATTAGACTCAATAACCTCCTGTATGATGAGATCCTTTCGCTAATTGCAGGTGCTGATTTCCATGTTCCTGGCTCGGGGGAGGACAAACACATCTGGGGAGCTGAAAAGGATGGGAAATTCATACTTAAATCTGCGTACAACCTTGACTCGGATGCTTTGGGGAGGGAGGAAGATGCTATCTGGAAAGGCATATGGAAATAGAAAGGGTCGAGCAAGATCAAACACTTCATGTGGCTGGTAACACACAACAGACTGATGACAAACAAGGAAAGATCGAAGAGAGGGCTCACTACCAACAGCAGCTGCCCTCACTGCAGCAACACCGAAGAAACTGTGGAGCATATTCTTCGCAACTGCAAGAAAATCAAAGGTGTCTTGAGACATTTCAAAGATCAAATTTCGGACCATACCCCCAACCATGATTTCAAGACCTGGTTGGTCAACAACATAAAATATGAGAGTAAAGGAACGAATTTCGGTATCATTTGCTGGTGTGTATGGAAGCAGCGGAATGAGGAAGCAATGTGTTGAGGGTAGCGACGCCAACACAATGGACGGGAAGACTTTTTCCGAACTGGGATTGATTAAAAGAATCGAGGCCTGCTTTTCCATGAACACCAATGTTGTGGCAATGCGCTTCTATTGTACAAGGAACGAGAATCATTAGACAAAGGTGGTTCATATCATGGAAGCCACCACCAGAAGATTGGATCCAACTTCAAAGTGATGGAAGCTTTCAGAACTCCACCAACAATGCTGCTGCGGGAGGCCTTCTAAGTGACAACTTGGGGATGTGCTTTGCAGCGTTTATGTGCAACCTGGGTTCCTGCACTATCACAAGGATAGAGCTCAAAGGTGTTGTCAAGGGTTTAAAGATCGCGTGGGGAATGGGCTTCGGGAAGGTAGAAGTCAACCTGGATTCTACAACAGCAGTGGGCATTTTGAAAGGAGAAGGCGATCCCAACAACAGACACAACCTTCTCATCCTCCAAGCGAAAGAGCTTTTGAGAAGAGATTGGATTGTCAAAATTAATCATGTTTATAGAGAGTGTACCTATGTCGCTGATTTCTTGGCTTGCAATGGTCACGAGGTTCCTTTTGGCACACATCATCTTGATACGTGCGACCCAAACCTCATGTATTGGCTTAACTATGATGTAAGGGAGATTTCCCAAGAACGTGATGTTTTAATCTAAGTTGGGATGCTATGCATCCGTGTTCTTACCCAAAAAAAATCAAATCCAAAATTTGTAAAAAAAAGGATAATTTTACTTTGACAAGAAGCTCAATGTTGAATAGTAATTGTTGGGAATGAATAGCTTTGAAAGCTATATTGAATTAATTATCCAGTATTTTTCTATATACGAAATTAAGATGGATAATTAATAAAAGGAATATTATGGAGATAATTAGGAATAATTATCTTAATAGATTATATTTTAATTATGGGAGTAATTATCTCCCTAATTAAAATATGACTTATTCCCAAAGAAAGAGGGAATATTCTGGGTTTTATGCTCCTATAAATAGGAGACGCCCCAGGCCCTCTAAACACACCACAGAAGAGCAGAAACACGAGAGAGAGTGAGATTCAGAGAGCTTCGGTTTCCGCACAAAACCGCCGAGCAAATTTAATGAGTGGCTGTTTTATCCTGGAGACGACCGGCTGATAGTCTGCCGTGCGCAACGAAGGCAGTGCCGCGAACGTCTTAAAAAGAGCGACCTAGTCCGCGACTCAGCCAGATCGATAACCTTAAATTTTTCTATTCGGTTTCTAACAATTTTAAGACGTTTGGATGCTGTCATATGTACCGAACAGATTCAATTCAGTTACCGCATCCGGCTTCAAATCGTCTCATCCCGCCACTCGATGCAAGCTTCGATCGACGTAGCTCTCTTCTCGTACCGGCCAGTCGCCGAAAGGGAAGCTCGCGATTCCTACCAAGCTTTTCCACGTATATGAAAGAATGCTTGTCCATTCTTATTTCTTACAATTTTATATATTCTCTAGCTGTGGAGAAAGCGTGAGATTTGGGATTTTATTTATCAATAATTGTTACTGCTAGCTTTTGTTGAAGCAAGTAGCCAGAGGGAAACGTTAAAGGGAAAGATGGAACTCACTGCTACCGAGTTTTGGCTCGACAACAGGAAAAAGACGAAAATATGCGACCGTTGCTTGTGAATTTTGTTACTAGAGATATGCTATATACATATGTTTGCAAAATTGTTTGCTAGTTGATGCAGGACAAAAGAATTCTTAATAGATACAAAAACTACTTGGATTGATGGCGTTTATACCGGACCATAGTGCATGCGAGGCTGGTAGTTGTTGCGTCATGGTCCATCAACAAAAATGCCCCAATCTTTTATGAGAAGGGAACCCTTCTCCCGAAACTTCCTCCGGTGTCCGCACAGACACAGTGCTTTCCACTGGTCTGGGTTTGGTGGCGGCAGTAGGGTCGGAAGAATTCCAGAAAGTAGAAAACGCAACGGTCTAATGATGAGATGTGGGCCGAATACTAGACAGGCCCAACTGAATTCGACCCTCTGCTTCAGGGAAGTTAATTTAGTGGACCTTGAATGGCTGAATGATTTTGAGCCAGGTGGTCTTCTAATCGTGGAACGGGACCAACTGAATCAGTGATACGTAGATTTTGGCTCCCCTAAGATGGTGTAACTGGTACCTTCTACTCCTCATGTTGGTGGCAGTTGTGAAAGAAGAATTGCTTGGAAATTGAGAAATAGCAAAGCTAGAAGTGGTGCTAGCTACTCGTGCAAATTGAGAACGCATTGACTCATCGAAAAGAGGTCAGAATCAAAACCTTTTTATGAATCATTGTGATGAATGATAATTACTTAGAATCTATTTCACTTGAGTTCTATGCGTGGTGTTAAGAAATCATATGAATGAAGAAAAGTTAAAATAGAATTGATGCATGTATATGTCGACATTGAGATGTATTACCTTGATGATTAGAATAAAAAAAAAATTGAATACATGTTGTGGAGTAGAATGGGAATATATGGGAATAGAATGGGTTAATTGCCCATAGTGACGATATTATAAGAAGTACTGTTGTCAGTACTACATGAACCACTAAGGTTGCTATGAAACATTAAAGTTTCAAGAATGAGAGCAACAAGCCGAACCAGATCCATACCAAATAGAATGGTACCCTTTTTGGTAACCAAAAGATTGCCAGCCAATCCTCTAAGAATGACACTATTTTTTCTCTGCTATGATTGCGGGAAACTAGGTCATATGACACGAAAGTGTATGAACAAGTTAAACTTGGTATCATCTTTAACTTGAGTAAAGAAGAGGATTTGGTAGTAGAGGATGACCTTTATGGTAACTCTAAAGAATGGTTGTTGGATAATGACGCCTCAAGGCATTTGTATGATAAACGAGTTAAGCTCAATCATACATTATTGATGCATGAGAAGAAAGTGTTTTTGGGTTCTGCCTTCATCACTATTGTCGATGCTCTTGGAAAGTGGAAAAGAACCTTACCTCTAGAAAGTCGTTGACTATACCAGACGTAAGGAATGATTAAGTAAATAAAATGAATTCTTCCATAGGTTTGTGTGAAGAATTAGAGTATCCAAAGTCACGTTCCCATATTATTTTTGAAAGCTTGAGATAAATATGAAATTTTGAATCCAAGCTAAATTACCCATAATCAAAGATATT